AGATCTGCAGCCCATCCTCCACGACCTGAAGCGGCTGATCAACGACACCGGCGAGCTGAAGTTTCTCACCGCGCAGCTGAAGGGGAAGATTGCCCGCAGCAAGGCGGACCTGGCGGAGTTCTTCGCCCTCTGCCGCCATCCCGTCTGCCTGGAGCTGTCCACCAAGTACCGCGCCCTCGTGGAGACCTTCAGCGTCAGCTCGCGCATCGACAGCCTGCCCCGCCTGCTGCCGGTGACCGAGAAGCTGGAGTACCTCCTCGGGCGGGACATTGTGCGGGAGGTGAGCAAGGGCAAGGAGCGGCTGGACCGGCTGGCGGGCGCCATTCAGCGAGTGGTGGACGAGGTGCTGCCCGGCATTGGGCGGCACGTCAGCCACGCCAGTCAGGTGCTCAACGACAATGTCGAGGCGATCAATGGCATACTGGCGCAGCCGGTGCCCACTGTGAGGCGGTTGCAGCGGGCGATGGGCCGCTCCGGGGCATTCATTGCCCAGCATGAGCACTACGTGTAAGTGGAGGGGTGGGAGTTTTATTTGGGGTCTTTTTTAAACCTCTCCTAATTTCTCTTTTGCAGACAATACCTCGGCCTGACCGCCACCCTCCTCCTCTTCACCATCCTCCTCTGCTACCTGGTGGGGCTGCTCTGCGGCGTGTGCAGCGACCAGCCGACGCGCTACCACTTCCGCCTCCGTTCCAAGAAGTCGGAGCTCTTCTTCACCCTCGGCCTCGCCCTCTTCTTCCTCTCCTTCACCCTCCTCCTGGTGCTGGCCACGCTGTCGGTGGTGGCGGGCGGCGTCAGCGACCGCTCCGCCTGCTACTACCTGGAGAACGTCTCCGAGCCGCAGAGCGAACGGGTCATCAGGCTGCTGCAGAGTGAGCTGCTCGGCGGCGGAGAAGATAATGGAAAGAGTGGTGGTGGGCTGATTGAGAAGATCATGGGCGGAGAAGGTGGAAATAGTGGCGGTGGAGATACTGCTGCTGCTGACGAGCTGAAGCCCGCGCTCGCCTACCTCCGACACGTTCAACTGGCGCAGCTCCTCTCCCGGTGCCACGCCAACGGCAGCCTCTTTGACGTCCTTCAGCTCGACTTTGAGCAGAAGATTCGGGTGCCGGTGACGCGGCGGCAGCTCACCGGCGGCGGCGGCGGCGGCAAGAGCCTCACCAACAGCATCGACGATGGCTCCACCACCGACACTTTGGAGGGCGAGGAGGGCCAGGCAGTGGCCTACATCAAGCTCTCCGATGTGGTGCTCTTCAAGGAGAAGAAGACCATCGAGGACTACCTCAGCGGACTGCTCGGCCGGCTCGACCAGCTCGGCCCGGTGGGCTCGGACGGCGGCGGCGGCGGCAACGGCCTGGTCCTGCTCACCGCCCAGGGCGAGGAGCTGCTGCGGGCGCTGCAGGAGACGCCCCTGGAGACGCTCAACTTTAGCTCCTTTGCGCACGTCATCCGCCACAGCATCACCCCGGTCGACCTGGAGCTCATCAGCCGCCGCCTCGAGGAGGAGTCGCTGAAGCTGCCCGAGGCGGAGATTGACAATGTGGCGCGGTTGCGGAACATCGCCATGGACCTCAAGTCGAGCCGAGATCTGATCAACTCCATCACCAACAAAATTGTAAGTTATTTTATTGCTGGTTAGTTTCAAGATTTTTATGGCTAACTTTTTTTGTGATTGTGATTGCTACGTTTAGGAAAATCTAACCCGAAACGCCGAGAAGATTGAACGCAAGTCGCACTACAACGGGCGGGGAATGCGCGAGACGCTGGCGCTGCTGCTGAAGCAGGCCGCCGACGCGCAGCGCTTCATCAACGTCCGCGGACGGGCGGAAATTAAGGCGGTCCTGCGCAGCTTCATCGCCGACATTGGCGCCCTCATCAGCCAGTACATTGCCCACGTTGAGTACCGGGTAAGTGATCGGTGGGGGAAGGAGAGGATTTCCGTTTGTTTATTTAAGAGAGGTGAAACTCTCGAAGTGAGTTTCTGGCCTACTGACATGGTAGTCAGTCTGAGAGGCCCAAAGTATCTCACATTCCTTTCTTCTTCCTTCCTTCTCATCACATTCTTTCTCTTTACACACAGATCAAGCACGAAATTGGCCGCTGCGAGCCAGTGAGCCGGGCCTTTAATCACACCGTCGAGGCGCTCTGCGATGATATCGTCCTCCCCTTTGTAAGTGCTGCCCCTTTTTTGTTTCTTTTCTTTCCTCGTTTTGTGTGTGCCTTGCATGTTCTTGGGTTTAGTTAGTTGGGTGGGGAGAGGGAGTGTGTGTGTGTGAGCTATCGTTTGATTTCTGCCCTGCTCTCTCGGACACGCTGTGTTTACACTGTAACACCGGGCGTCAGCCCGGTGCAAAGTTACTGTTACCCGCGAGATTTTTGGCACAGATACTCAGGAGAAATAATGTGATTTTTTGGACCAAGTATCA